AAAGCATGATTTACGCAGGTTTGAAATTTTAACGCGCTAATTCCGAAATCTGTGTGTGATGTTTTTGTTCGGCATCTTTCAAACTCTGCAAAAATCATTAAAAATAAATTATGTAAAACTGTATTTTTTTCGTCAAATATAAACAAAAGGATACTAGTAGGACAACAAAAGGACACTCGGAAAAGTTTCTGGAATATTTGCAAAATATTTTTCTTAATATAAAATTAAGTAAAATGCGTCAGAATCAAAGTTTAATCTTAGGGTGCTTCCAAAAAAAAACGACTTCGAGTTAAACGAGTCAAATTTTAACGAATAAATCTAACGAAATTCTACTTGTAATCTCGTTGCCAAAATACTCGAGGACACGTAGCATTCAATCAATGATGTTCGGGAAAGAAAGCGCGGTATTGACGTTGTATTGACATTGTTGTTTGATTTCGAAATTGTAGTTTTGCAAATTTATGTATTCGCGCGCGCGAGGAATCTCTTTCTAGGGAGAAGTTTCGAATGAATAAGAAGGATTCCGCAGAGCGCTCACGTGAGTCATCGGGCACCCTTCGAGCACATTTCCTCGGAAGGAGATTCATCGTTCCGGCTTTTCCCGACCCTCGTTCTTCCTTGTCCGCAGAATTTCTTTTGCGGATCTCAAAAAGCTCGTATTCCATAAGACGGATCTGAACGCGTCGCGTACGCTGGAAGTAGAGAAGGTGAGGATCGATCGAATCGGGGCGTTGCACGGAGAGAACCCTGCGTGAAAGAGAAGATAAGACGTTGAGAAAAGACGTTGCATCTTTCCCGCAAGAGACTTCCGCCATATTACCGGAAAGAAAAACCGCCGAGGCGCTTGTAACTTCATTTCTTATTTCTTCACCGTCCGGGGTTTAGCGTGCAAAAATTTATCAGCAGACAGCAATTATAGCAAAGCTGTAACGTGAGATAACGTAATTACATACAGCAGTATATTTTTCAAAAACTCTCAATATTGTAATTGAAGTAAGTTGAAAAAAAAACAAAAATTGTATACTCAAAAAAATATTAGCACACTTGCGTTTTACATAAGAAATACACAATTTTCTTGAAATTTTTAATACGTAAATAAGTTTTTATAATTTTGCACTCTGTAATAAATTATCTCGCGCGATATGCATTTAAGCATTCATAAATTTCTTCGATGAATGCCAAATTTCCAACTCCATTATAAGACATACAACCCTAAACCATTATGGGCATTATTATTAAATGTAAGTGTGCCAGTACTTTTTGGAACCACTCATGCTATATTTGCATCTCGTATATGATCAATGCCCGTATACACCCCTATCTAATTTTAAAATAATCGCACGAAAAGCGAGAGATTTCAGGTTCGACACCTGGCTGATGGAGATGTTTTTTTTTTTTGTAATATTTTAAAATTAGATAGGGGGATATACGGGCATTTATCATATACGAGATGCAAATATAGCATTCTATATGAACTTCCGAATTGAAATTTCAATTTTCGAAAAGTGCCGGACGGGAAAATTCAAAGAGATCTTCAGAATTAAAATGAATTTTCACAAGTTTATATCTCGTCCAAAATAAGTGTACGAAGAAACACTATCTTTCTCACGGTTTCTTCTTATCGTATGTTTTGGAGATTATTACCATGTTGCTCCACTTCCGCGGTATCAGCTGGGATATCTTCTAACTTGATCAATACTGATACGTTTCCGTGTCGCGCCGGCATTGCTGTACACACACACACACACACGCACACACACAATGCTATCATGTGTGTATATATTGATTCGACGACGATGTTTCCTCTTGTTGCTTCGCTCGCGTAATCCTCCAAAGCCGTTTCTTTCGAGATATTCGTTTCTCGATATCTCGAGCACACACTCTCGTTTCGCGAAGACAGGGATCTTCGCCAATTCGTTTGCACCTGGTCAAAAGTCAGCTATCGCCAACTCGGCGACAAATACCCTCGGTGTCGAATCGAGTTTGTTTGCAACCGGAAGTTACACACGACTGACAAAACGCGTTACAACAAGATATCACGGTGTCGTGTCTCGAGGGCGACTCCTCTCTCGCTGTGGTTATCTTTTAACTCGAATCGACCTACTGTAGCGATGGGGCTGTTATCTGCGACACTGAACGGTCGGTTGTTAGCTATCGATTTGTAACTTTTCCACGTGGTTACGGAGTTGGCGGAGAGAGAAAGAGAGGCGAAAGTGCTTCAGCTGTTTTATTAAAGTCTGAAGCGAAACCTTCCGCTATACTATACCGCTGGCGCGATCGATTGTCTTCTGGTTGCATAAAGGATAAACCGTCGTATGGCGTCTCGTTATATCGATGTAGGAACCCGTTTCTTCGGCTGAAAGACGAGCCGTCTAGCTGCAACATCGGTTACGTCGTCGCTGCTGGAGAAACGGGAGAGCTTTGTCTGCTCGTTGCATTATTAATCGGGCAATCGATATCTCGGTCTATGTTTCATGCACGCGCGCGCTGAGAGACCGCGCCGCCGTGTCACATTGTTTTTTCTCTCTCTCTCTCTCTCTCCGTCGACACGCGCGTTGTTTCTCTTGACTCTTTCTTCTGCTTAATATTTTCCGGTTTGGTTAGAGCCTGAAAATATATTGTAAATTAACTCTATGATCTTTACCCTCACACACACACAAAACTATTCGTACGCACATATTTATCATGTATTTATATATTTTGTGTATATTCTAATTATTTTACAAAACATTTTATCTTTTACAAGTTTATATCAAGGGAAGTGTGTGTTGCGTCAATAATTAAATAAAAGAGTAAATCTCAGACCAATTATTAGAAGAATTTTGCAAATTTCCGGTAAAATCCAACATGACACGCTATACACGTAACAGGTAATGTATTCAGAGATGTGTGTGTTACAGACAGTCAATTGAGCATTAAAAAACAAAAAATCGTGTCTTATTTTTTCTTAGTATTTTTTGTGTAACACAAAACTTGATCGAGGAAGTATCGAGCGAGTACATACATTTCTCGAAGGCGCGCGTTCCGACTGCAAGAAAGTTACATCGAGCTGACGCGTCACACACGCGTTTTCCATCCTTGCCGTGCGTGTTCCATTCTGTCCTGCGTGCAATCTCCGCGCACTCGCGTTCCACCGGCGAAACACACCGCCGATGTGTTTCGCGGTAAAACCTTGCAAGGACACCGTCCAGTGCACCGTAAACTCGTTCCTCTCTTGCGTCCTCTCCCCTCCTTCTGCAATTAGCGGCGCAACATTTTACGCTCCCTCGGTGGAATGCAAGTATATTCGCCCCAGCGACGACGATTGCGCCGCACCTGCGCACTTCGGCGCGCCGTGTTTATGCAAAATCCACCCAGAGAGATAATGCACACACCATTCGATTCGTGCACGCGGGTGTGTCGTGAGAAGTGAACTCTCTCGGATCGCTGATATTTCCCCATGTGTGTTTTATGCACGGAAAGCCTGTTTTGAACATAGCAAAATGATGAAAGAATTCAATTAAAAAAACATTTTTTTAATTAATTGCGCGAATGTTTTCTTTTTTATGTGCATATGGCGAACACGACAAACGTGGCAACAATTAACGTCGAGATATTCAAGAGAACTTCAATATATTCGAGTATCGACTGTGCATGCCTTTTTAAAAGAGAGAAAACAATGGAATAAAAAGTGAAAAAAAATGAAAAGTTTTTTGCTTTTATATTCCAAGGTTTTATTCGCGCGTTCGTTTTTTTGCAACGAACTTTTTTCAGTCTCAGATTTCTTACTATTACCGTTCTGTCGGGAAACGGTTTTACGAGGCATTTTGCTGTAATTAATATTGGTTAATTATATACAGAGACGATTGGCTAATCTTGGAAGTATGTCGCCGGGAAGTTGATTTCTTGCAGCAAATCGAAGGTCCTTCGCGGTGAGAGATAGCGGAGGAAACGATTGCCGCGTTGTTGCCGCGTGACTGTATCGAAATAATTACCGATTGCATTTAGCAAGAACAAATGTCTATAACGAGAATCGAATTAATAAAATCGATACGGTAAAATCGAGTTTGCTGAAACCGTCTCTCGGAAGAGATCCGGTCTTCTGTGTGCGCATGTCGTAATCAGGATCGCGTTGCTTTGTTAGAACGACGGCCAAAACGGGGGAGAACACACGGCGCGGCCAATTAATTTCTCTCTTCGAGACACAATCCGACATTAAATTAATTCTCATTATTGCGCGCACTGGCGTACTTGACCGCGATGCGCGAGCGCGACAAATTTATCTAATGCCTCATTAGCAGTGTTTGTAATTACAGCTTTAGTGCTTGACATTTTAATGTTGCCGGTTTTTTAATCTCAAAACGCTTTTACCTTAACCCGTTTCACGCGCACGCACACGCCGGTCGCCCTTCACGGGAAAGTCCTACGTCTGTTAATTACACAAAAACGCATTTAATTTTGCTAATTGCTAAGATTAAAAATATTGTTTATTTACGCGGACAAACGTGTAACTTTTACACGCAAAAGTGAAAATGACAAATAATTTTGAGATTATATTTGTTTGACCATAAAATATTCAATTACATATATAGCAATTATTTGTTGATTTCATATAATCTTCAATTCCTGTTATAAAACGTCTGTGTTAATATCGAACTTGAATATCTCAAATGCATATATCGTTTGCATTGTTGCTCCTCTTTTCCGCGGCGCTAACTAGTTTTCGGCTATTTGTGTCGCAACTGTGAAGCAGTTTGGAATTATGTGAAATTATATTTGTTACGGTTAGCGCGACTGGAAAAAAAAAAAAAAAAAAAAAAAAAAAAAAAAAAAAAAAAAAAAAAAACGTGAAAATACATATATATGTCACAATAATCAATGACGCGTAGCGCGCACCCACAACTTAATTAAAATTATCACATTAAATAAAATTCAAACACATATGGTTCATAGTTTTCATGTTTAATTAAGACAAGTAAATTTTTATATTTATTTTATTTATTTTATTTTATTCGATCAGCCCCATATTTACAACATTGTAAATCCTATAGAGGTAAACCAAGTTACCTGTACATAGGCAGGTTGCTAAATTACAAAATTATGTAGCAGCTAAAAGAAAAAAACACCCAGAAAAAATAACAAATATAAGAGATAAACAGAAAAAGAAAAAATTTTTAAAGAAACTGAACAATATCAGCATTATTATGTACAAGACGAGCTGTCTTTCCACATCTTTCACCACAACTAGGGACCTATTTAGTCATATATTAACCGTATATATTACACGTTAAGAAAAACTCGAAACTTCAGTTAATTTCAGCAGTTTCCAGCCAGCATTTTAATTTCGTTTTAATCGTTACTTTATTGAAATTCAAAACTTTCATATGATTAGGTAGTTATATATAAAGGAATATTTAATATAAAAATTATAATAAAAATTATTTGGTTATATATTAAATGTGAAATTTAACAAATATGCAGAGTGTCGAAAGAATTTTGTCACAGACAAAATATGAAGTTGGAGTAAGTTACATCTGAACAGAAAAAGTCATTTAGCAATTTGCAGTCAAACTTCGCGATATTTATTGAGTTTATTAATTAATGAATGAAAGCCTATGAGCGTGTAAGAAGTTGATGATCTGAATTCTGTAGACATGTATTTTCATTAGTAAAAAAAATAATGTAAATTATGTCTTAGCAACAAGAGGCGAAGCAAACAGCAAGCGCGAACGGCGTGTGACACAGTTTCTTGCAATCAGCTAATGTTCATGCCGATACGACTAAAAATCACACACGCCTACAAGAGTTCGGACCATTGCTTCCTACGGACTCACATTCATTAATTAATAACTCAATACGTATTGCAAATTTTAGCAGCGAAATGGTAAATATTATTTTCTGTTTAGATTGACCCAATTTATCTTCACACTTTGACTGTGTCGGAAGTTTTCAGATACTCTGTATATATACAGTGTCTAATTTGTAGACAGATATTTATGGTATATAAATTTTATTTTAAATACATCCAGCAACTTGTTCAGACACGCTCTGTCTTACCACAATTAGATTAATAAATTTTATTCTTCGTGTTTAGCAGTTTTCTGTTTCTGTTTTTTGCCATATGTCTTTTTATGAAAGTCATAAAATAAGTATAGTAATAGTATTACGTTGAAAAGAAATACGAATGTCATTGGTTTTGATCTTTGTAGTCCTGTGGATTCTGAACTTAGAACAATCTGTAGTCCGTAGCATATCATCGCAATAAACTGCGTCTATAATGTTGTGAACAGAAACTATATTAATAATCACTCACTTATAATGATATATTATACAAATACTTTATATTATCTAGAGGTGTGTGTGTGTTATAATTTCAAAATATATTGTTGTTATGTATAAATTTATCATAGGAACGTTAAAATTAAGTAAATTACAATTCGTTTAAGTGAAACAGTTAGTATCAATATTATGGTGTGTATGAAGGTTAATTGTAAAATATAATGTACAAATTTGTTTATATGATACATGCGTGATGTATACATAATTTACAAACTTGTATATAATGTAGAACTTACCATTTGTATTTTCGTAATATAAGGTTTAATAAAAGATACTTTTTGTTGCATGGCTGTGCTCCATGCTGCAATGAAGTAATATGTGTACATGATAATATGTATAAAACAATTAAGTAAACTTATAAATGTCAATCTGGGTTCCACTATGTACTTGAGGAAAACCCATTCAAAAAAGACATTAGACACATGATGATACACGTGCAAAGTAGAAACTTGGTTCTGTTTTTTCCGTAAAACAAATATACACGTTTCGATATAATCAATTAGTTTTAATATTAATAGCCACCATGAAATAGTTATTAGCTGAAATTAGCACAAATTTGTATTTAAAAAATATTAATTATTACATGTTTAAAGTGAAAAGGAAATATATTAATTGCATTGTTTTTACAGGCAAATATGTGTTACGTTTTTTAGTTCAGCAATATAATTTTATCAATACGTAACATAAAAACATACCTTAAAACTATTTGTACTTATTGGATCATTATTATTAGTACATTTTATACCATATTCAGTAAACCAGCCAGCAGATATGTGACTGTGTACCATCCACGCATTACCAAGAATTTGAAATACGTTATAAAATAATATAAAGGTTCTTAAGTTAAATGGTTGTTGATTCTTCATGTAACTTGGTCCGGCGTAAAGTATAAAATACAAATAAGCAGAAGTTATCATGATTACTGTGAAAGGCGTTTCTACTAACGCCCATTTACGTGTGATCGGAACTACAAATAAAATTGAAGTAGAATATTAAAAACAAACATTTCTATGCGACACTTATTATAACACATTAAGAATTACGGTGTTTACGATCTTACATAGTGGGTGTTTGTGCAATTATAAATATGTTTTAACTTCTCAAAATCGTATAATTTAATATACATCAACATTTTAAGTAAAGTACTTAATTCGAAAATTTAAATAATATGCAAAGTTGCATCACGAATAGATGGTAAATATACAGAATAGGAGAGCCCCCTCCGATTGGCTTCTCGTTCTCATATATTGTAAATTTGACCTTCCGGAATACGTTTCTAAAAGTTTTAGCCGTCGCTCATTGTTTATAAAAAAGTTATGATCAAAAAAAGTTTCATAAATAAATTTTTTTCCCGACAACATGTACATTTTTTGTGTGTTGAAATGTAGGCAGGGGTGGCTGCGCTCCCCCGTAGGTGGAAGGGCTTTGTCCCTCCCCCCTGCTCCTCCCTCGAAAAAAATAGAAAACGACTTCCGATTACTGGTCGCTTCATGTCGATAGTATGTACGTGATTTTTAACGACACTTAATCAGAAATCGTTTTCTATTTTTTTTAGGGGAGAGCAAGGGGGAGGGGCAAAGCCACCCTTGCCTACATGCTTTCAACACACAAAAAATGTACATGTTATCGGGAAAAAAGATTTATTTCTGAAATTTTTTTTGATCATAACTTTTTTATAAACAATGAGCGACGACTAAAACCTTCATATTGTTACTCAGCAAGGTAATCTTAATAATATATGTGAATAATACATATGAACGAGAAGCCGATCGGAGAGGGCTCCCCTATTCTGTATAATTACCATCTTTTTAAAATACATTTATAATTGCACGAACACTTAGCATGTCGGCTTGTATAAACCGTAATTCATAATACAAAAATTTCAATAAACATTTCACTTGTAAATATTAAACATTTTGATATATACAATACATTAAATTGTATAATGAACAAATAGTAAATTAATAAATATTAAGAGACAAGGCAGTGCCTCGCGCTAAGTTTACGCGTAACGAAGTCGCGCTCGAACGTGCCTCTATATACGCGAAATTCAGGTATTCGAGAAGAGATGAAATTTTCACGGAGCAATATTTCAACGTCGAAACCAATCAATTTTATTTTAGTCTCAGTTGTAAATAAAAAACAGGTTGAATTAAGATTTTTACTTTAAATACAATGCGTGTTGTGTGCGTACTTAACGCCTGTTTGCCTTTTTTTTTAAAAGATAAGTTTTTTGAGATATCACACATTTTGTAGTATTATACAAACTTTCTTGATAAAAATGTGTAGCACAAAAAAAGTTTTGTAAGAAAAGCTTTGTGTCAAGTCGCGCTTCTTTCTAACACCAACATTAGTTAAATATCGTTATAGTTAAAAAAAAAGTATTTCAAACTGAATGTCCTGTGTTTTTACAGCGAGTAGTCACTTTACGCTGATTGATTTCAGCGAGTAAAAAATTATGTACATACACTTACATACATTATTTTTTATCAAGACATTGAGCATCGACTACTTTTAAAAATCTTTTTAATCTTTTTCACAACACGCAATAAATAACTAGAATCTTCTGAGAATATATAACTTTAAGAGATATATTTTTTACATAGTATGTGTCAAAAGTAAAAGCATTAGCATTTATATGTATATCAGAAAATTTGAGACCACTATGTATATAAAAGACACATTGACGCAATTAATGCAAAATATTTTACCTGCTAATTCGATCATAAGATAATTGTACACACTAGTAACACTCATTTTATGATTATCTGCTCACAATATACAAATAATTTTCTGAAATAATTTCTATGTGTCTAGAAGTTGAAAGAAAGTATTTACAAATCGAGAGACGGACACGTACTGCCGCCAGTGTTCACAGTTTTCTTTACAGCATGTAAGGAAAAAGCGGTGGAGGGAATGCTCGCAACAGTAGCGAGTTTTAATTGCATAAATTCGCTGCTGTTGTGCGCATCCCTTTACACTGATTGACTTGAACGGATACTCGTTCACGAAAACCAGTATAAAAAGCAAAATTTAAATACGCAGAGGTTATAATTGGTAACATAAAAAAAAGTTGTTATTAATGTCCAATCACATGTGACCGGATCACACGTTACGTGAATTATTTTATATGCAAGACACCAAGCTAATATTTTTAATATTCTTTTTAATACACAACGAATAACTGAAACTTTCTGTGAATATAACTCAGAGAGATATGTTTTTTACAACGTACGTGTCATAATTAAAGTAAAGTTAGTGTTTATATGCATATCAGACATTTTCACAGCACTATGAAATTTATAATAGACACATTACGCAATACGAAAAGAAATAATACGAAATATTTGTCAGCTAGTTCGATCATAAAATAATTGTGGATATTGTCTCAACTCATCTTGAAACACTGCATTCACAATATATATAATGACATATACAAATGTTTGTCTCTCGAGTAATTTTTAATTACCTAGAAGTCACAAGTAGCTTGTTAGGTATTTACAAATCGAGAGACGGACTCGTACTCTTTTTTCACTCCCAACTTAATAACTTTGACTTCGCTTATCTCCAAAACGAAAAGTAGGCTCAATATAAAATTTTTCTGTGATCAATTATTATTATAAGCTATTACTTAACACACTATTTGGTACAAAAATTCAAGGATTCAAAACGGGCGAAATTTTTTCTTTTTGCGGAGTCACTCTTTTCACAGTTTCAATTGTAATTTTTTCGTGCTGTAAAACAGCTTTGAATTTATTTTCACCAGCGTTCGAAACTTTATAAAATTTATTCTAAGTAACTTATGTAAAATTGTTGTTAAATAAACTACAACATATATTGGTAGAAACTTGAAAAGAATAATCATAAATATACAAAAGTTTGAATATTTTAAACGTGAATATTTTATAAAATCAAAATGCGACAGATCTAAGGTTCGCTTTTAGAATACAAAACAAACAAGCAAACAAACAAACAAACGTTTCAGAATTAAAGTTAATAACCTTATAAAATTATTTTTCGAGTAAAATAAATTGAGTGATTTAATTTTTTCTGTGCAGAAAGACTATTGAGCAGACAGTCGATTAATCATGGAACGATACGAAGAGGAAGCCGAAGACAGCGACAACGAAACGGATCCCGAGCAGCTTCTGAACGAGTGGCTAGGCGAGTTGGACAGTCTGACTGTGGTGAGTTTATATTTCACACTTCACTCGGAGTTTTCGTTATGCTGGTATAACACGCTATCGCTAAACAATATGTTAGATCGTGAAAAACTTAGTGAAACAATCGTGACATTCGGATTTAATTGACGTGACTCGAAAACCGATATCTAGTATCTGATGATACATCGTTGGTATTTCGTTCATTAATAATATTAAGTAATTAATATTTAAACAATAAACGGCCCGAAGAAACAAACACAAAAAATATATAATAAGCCAAAGAATCAATGGTCAATGTTGACGGTAGACAGTTGAAATAAATCAGTGATGCAGTGTATTTGGCGGACGATCTTTAATTATAGATCATCTTCAGCAAACAAAATTTGTAATACAAAATTAATTGAATAGAAGAACGGTATAAATATAATGGATAAAATAAATAAGTATATATATACGCACCTAAATTCGACAAGTCAACACGAAACCGTTGAAAATGAGTTGGCAAGCCACTACAGATCAATGTAACCCATAATAAAGACATACATAATAGCAAAGAATAATGTTTATGTATTATGTTTATGTATGAGGTCTGTAATGAAGTAATTAAAATAAATATCACAAAATTCAGGAAGTATATGTAAATTCAATGAAAGACACCGAGCTTTTTGATTCATTTTATTCATCTTTACTCAAGAAACTTTAATAGTCACGTGTTGTTTTTACTTTCTTTTTTTTCTCATTTATTTAATTCTGTTTTCTCGAGCGTTAATCTCGTTTCACTTCTCATACATGAATTATCTTTACTGTAAGACAGTCATACATTGTTCCGTTGTCGGTTGTTTTCGGGGAGTATAGTGACAGTTTCAATACGGTTTTTAATTTTGCTGTTAAAAGTAAGTTTACATTATTTGTTTTAATGATCTGACTTTTATTTTTACTAATTGACTTTTATTCTTCTGACTCGTTGACCAACAGTTTAATACTTTTTATTTCAATTATTTTTTTATAGACCTCCGATACGTAAACATTATTCTTTGTTGTTATGTATGTCTTTATTATGGGTTACATTAACCAGTTGTGGCTTGCCAACTCATTTTCGACGGTTTCGTATTGACTTGTCGAATTTAAGTGCGTACTTATTTATTTTGTCCATTGTATTTATACCGTTCTCCTATTCAATTGATTTTGTATTACAATTTAGTGTGTTTGCTGAAGATGATCTACAATTAAAGATCGAAACGTCCGCCAAACACACTGAATTAAGTAATCAAATAATTATTTCTGGAGTAATATTAATTTGATTAATTAATTAACTAAATAATCAAGTACTCCAGATTAATATTAATTAGTTAGTTAATTAATTGGGCTGCGACATGTGTAATTGAGCAACTCTAGAGAAATTATATAAATGTCGCAGTACACACAGTATAATATTGAATAGACAGCTGACTGTAACTGCCTCTTTCGAATACGCGCTTCTCAATTGGTGTCAATTGGCGCGCGGTCTAAATAATTCGCTAGTATCTAACTCAACATGAGAAGAAGACGCGAGTTTACTTCCTCGAAAGGCCCGCGTGTTTCTCATGTCGCGTTTTAAATGTCTCGGGTCTGAAATTAGTAACGTTATGTTTTCTGAAACAAAGTGCATCTGTGATCTCGTAAAACTTTCCAGTATTATTTATTTATAAATACAGTCAATTGCGATTAGTTTGATTAATAAGTAAATTAAGTTTAAATGATATTTGCTATTTTTATCAAGATATTGTTTTTATCACAATACAATTGAGTATCAATCGACAGATTTGACTAAATGAAACACGTGTACGATGTATTTCGTTCTTTTCGCGTAAGCTTTTCCGAACTTTGGCTTTTTCGAACGTAAAATATAAAAATTTGCCGTTTTTTATTTGTCTTTCCGGTTCTCGCGGTCTTCGCGGTTTGCACAATAGCTACGGCTGAGAGAATTGTAAAATTGTCTGCGCAATTGACGTGTCGGAATGATCGCGACGCGAACTTTGTACAGTAAGTAGATCAACGTTTCCCGCCGTGAGTGCTTTTAGCACTTCCTGCCCGAAGGCTCGTGGCCTGGTCCCCGTCCCCGCGTCTTTGATTTCATTAAATCGCGGATAATCGCGTCCCCCGACGGATCCTCTGTTACAATGTTAGTTGCATTAGCAACTTTCCGGGAGTACGATTACCGCGGGGACAATCCACGGCGCACAATCCGCAAGAACGTTGTTAGCGAGTTCGAAGAAAATTCGTTTTTTTTTTGTCGTTACAGTTTTGTGAGTTAAAAGTTCGCTCTTTTACTTCGCCGAAGTTTCCCGCTGGTGCTTCTTTCGACAGAGCAATAGAAATTTTTAAATTAACGCGCGCAAACTTAGCGACAGGACATTTTCTCCGCAACTATCTGCTGTAACGAGATTTTCCAAAACTCGAGGTAATTTTTACCACGTTTGCGTCGTGTTAATTAATTAATTTTTTTTATCATCTTTTGTACCTATTGAACATCTACTCTGCCTTTTTGAACGAATTTTTCACGTCTCTTTCGAAACGCAACTGGCAATTTTGATACAATCGGATTTCGTATTCTAATAATCGATTATTTTTTCTCGGCAATTTTTAATCCTCCTAAATTGTTTTTAGACTTATCTCAAGAGAGTTTTAATAGTTATTTATATCACTAAGTAACACGTTGAATACCAAATTAATTTTACATAACAATTGCGTCAGAATAAATTGTTACGACGCTCATATAATATCGCCGTTGACCAATGACCTCTCCACGTGCCAGTTGAGCGCCAGTGACTTGCACCGTATTCAACGTGTTAATTAAAATAGGAATTGAATTTTTATTCTCAATTATTCTGACTTTTATTCATTTTATAACGCGTAATATACAATATACAATTTCTTACAGAAATTTGAATTTGGTAACCATCGATCTTGTCAGATCTTTACACAAACCGTGAAATGTACTCGCTTTAGCTGCAACAACTAGTTTGGGAAGGTTAAGAGCTGGTCTTCCGAATAGGATCGTATTTTTTCTCGAGAAAATCCGCGAAGTTTCTCGGTTTTGATAAACCGCGGGATGAGTTTTAATCAAAGCCGCAGCTGATCGCAACGCTCCATCGAGGAGTAAAAGTAAACGCGCAGAAAGTGAAACCGCGACGAGTAACCTTGAACCTTCGCTCCGCGAGTTGGTCGGCGAAATGGACACTCGAGAATCGAGTCTAGCCGGTGAAAGATGGATGAGCCACGTGTTCGAGTGCCGCTCTGATAGTCAAGTGAAGTTAAACGTGCGCGCGTGTTTGATCTTTGCGACGAAGATTCGGCGAATCGATAGTCGAGGCGATCGATGTCGTCGCCCGTCATCACGCGATGTTCGTTTTTTGACATCGACGCCTACTATCTATTGATGTTTCTACCGATAGATTATATTGAAGCGAATCTCCCGTTATTCGCACAATTCCGTCAGCTTTGTGGCGATCACGTGAACGCTTGATGAGTAATCGCGAGCCTTTTATCAATGAGTGACACAAAATTCTGACGAATCTTCCGCTCGCGTATAAAACAAAGATTCACTTCACGAGAAAATCGCGTCTACGACGATGAGCAAGCGATGGTTTTCTCTTCGTCCTGTTGCTTTCTTCTCGTTTCTCCTCGTTTTTATTTCGCGT